TAACCACCACCTCAAAATAATAAGTATTAGAAGTAAGAGTCATTTTATTTTGTATTCTCTTTGTATACAATCTTATTGATATTATGTGTTGTAACTTCAAAGTTATATTTCTTCAATAGAAAAAATGGCCAATAATTTGGCTATATATTGTACATATTGACTACTTAGGATACAAGTTGGTTATCTAGTACATATGAAAAAAGCTAACTTTGTAAATTAGACACATGTTAGATGGCCTATATAACATTGCAACATAGTTCCTTAATTAAATAGTATATATAGAGATAAGAGTGAAGCCTTCTTCACTCTTGTCAATAACTTTCTTGTATTCTTATCTTAAATCAAGAATATATAGTCTATATATATTTAACAATAGTCATTTTAGTTTCTATCTTATATATATCTTTGATTTGCCTATTTTTTATTTTTTAATATAATAAGAGTATATCACTTCTTTAAATTTTTTTTATAACTCATATTATTGATACTACTATGTTTCTTCTCCCATATGATTAGCTTTTTAAAATGAGAATTTATTAAATCTCCAAAAAAACCTTTTAACACTAATTTTTTAGAAAAAAAAATAAAGAAGGGCCTTTTAAAATAGAGCTTTCAAATTATAAAATAAATATATCACTCTTTACTAAATTAGACGTTTTTTCTTTGTTTCAACTTCAAAATATAAGATTTTTATGTCTATAAAATTGAAAAAAAAATTCTTAGTTTTACTTTTTATTAAAATATTAAAAAAAATATTATGAAGTAATTTTAGTTAGTTAAAAAAATTAAAGAAAAACTTATTGGTATTTTTAAAAAATAATTTTTTAATAAGAAATTAATTTTTTTATAAAAATAATTTATATACTCATAGGATAAGATAAATAAAGGTGTTCAAATCATAGTTAAGTTTGAAATATTTTACATAAGTAAAGATAATTTTTTAAAAGAAAATATACAAATATATTGTATTTGTAGTGATATCATATTTTTATATTACTTCTTAAGTATATTTCATAAAAAATCTCTAAAATATCTTTCAAATAAAATCAATTTATTTTACAAATGTTGTAAAATTAAAAAATTATCTATTTAAAAGAAAAAAATAATATACATGGACGAATAAAAATTAAGGTAGAAATTTTTATATAGAAATTTTAAAAATTCATTAGATTCTAAAGATATTATTTCAAGATTAAAGAAATATAATCATCTAGATTTATAATACAAGCAAAGAGAATACATAAAAGAATTAAATTTATTCTATAAAAAAATCAATAAGATAATAGATGTGAATCAAATCTAAGAGATGCTTATTTTTAAAAAATCTAACTAATTTTGGCACTAAAAAGGTTCTAGACTAAAAATCAAATTTAAATAAAAAGCTCAAAGAAACTAATATATAATAGTATTTTTTAAGGCAAGAAAATATCTAAGACTAGATTAAAAAATAAAAGTGCAATAAGATTAAAAACATAAGGTATTAATTAAAATTATTAATATTTTTTAAGAATTTTATTTAAGCTTATATATGGAACAAAATATACCTAAAGATTCAAAAATAGTTTCTAACAATATATTAGTTAATATCTCTAGCAAGATTATACAAAAGAAATAAATATCTTCTTCATTAAGCCTTTGTCTAAATATAAAATATTTAATTCTATCAAAAAAATAGATTTATAAAATATAAAAAAATTATAGCTCTAATAGTATTAATATAGGTTAGTTTAAAAAAAATTAGAATAACACTAAAAACAAGACTATCTAAGTATGGATAGCCATCCTATTTAAAAGATTTAATTTAATACTATCCTTAAAGAATCTTTTAGGATAGTATTAAATTAAATAAATAATTTATAAAATATTAGGAATAAAATATTCTTAAAAAATAAATATTTTTTAAATCTTTTTAAAAATTTATACGAAAAATATACAAATATTTTACAAAAAGTACTACAAACAATCTAAATAAAGTTTATCCATCTAAAAAGGACTATGTTTTTTATTAAAATTTATTTTAAAAATATCTTATAAATTTTAAAAAATAAACTATAAATATAATATCACAACAACATTCATTATTTTTAAAATTATACATTTCAAAAACATATGACAAGGATTTATAGAATTATTTCTTCTTCTTTATTTTTTAATAATAAATAGGTTTATATAATATATTTATAAATTTCTTAATAATATTATTTAATGGTAAAAAAGAATTATAAATATAAAATTTTAATTCAAAATATAATTTTTTAATTATTTAAGATACAAGATATGGTTGTTTTTTAGGTTTATTCTTATTTATCATAGTAGATAAAAAATCAAATACAAATATATTTACATTTTTTGAAGATGATTGCATTTAAATAATAAGTTTTTTTAAAAGTAAGGTTGAATAAAAAATTAGTGAACACATTAATAACTACATCTTAGATATCTGTTTTTTATTATTATTAATATGGTAGTAATATTAAATCAACTTGTTATTGAGATTAATCTTGATACTAATTAAACCTAATTGATGGTTTATTGATAATGCTAGTGCCAACCAAAAAAACATTAAGTTAAGTAATTTGGTTGGAATTTAATTTATATAATAATAATAATAATAATAATAATAATAATAATAATAATAATAAAACTTAAGATATTTTTTTGAATCTTCTCTTTAAATAATAAAAAAAATAATTGGATTAGTTGCAAACTTGATTTTTAGTTTAATATACTAAATATAACTAAAAAATTAATATAGAAAATATTATCATTTTATCCTTAATTTATATTTTTTACCTTAATATGAGTAAGATTTCTAAAAACCATATGTTGAAATAAATTAATGGTATAGAGTTTCTTATTGAACAATATACATTCTTTAATTTTCTTTTAATTTTCTTAAAACACTTGTTAAAAGTACAAAAATGAAAAGAAGTTAAGACTATTATATTTAAAAGAAAAAATGATAACTTTATTAACTAAATATGCATTAACAACCTGTAATTCAAGATATTTATATATGTAAAAAATTATACAATAATGTTTTAAAAAAGCAACACTATTTGTTTTCAATAAATGATGGCTTATTTTTATAAGGACTTAAACACAATATATGTAAATCTTTAGATCTAAAAATTGGAATATAAATGCAAGAATATGAACCAAATTGGTAATATTTTAAAGCCTAAACTATTTGAATTATAGTATAACATTTAAATCAACTTTTTAATCAAATATTAAAAAAATTAATAATTAAAATTAACATAATATTCTAATTTATGTCTTTAAAAATAAAAGACATATTTAATATACACACTTAAGAATTTCTTACTAAAGAACCATAAGATTTATATAATAAATATGTAAATTTATGTAGATTTATGTAATAAATATGTATATCTTTAAATTTATTAAAGAATAATATTTATTACATACCTTTTAATTAAAAATTATTTATTAAAATAATTTGAGAAATTTTTAATCTAAAATTAATAGAATTAAAATCACAATCTCAAACCTTATTTAAAACAAAAAGATGTGGTACATGGCTATTGAAACTTGTTCTACATGTTTTCTACTTTTAAGTTTTATTGGAAGCAACTTATAACCTAATACTTGAGCCATAAGCCTTGTGGTCTTCATGATGCTTCTAAAATACCTTCTTGAAAGCTAACGTATATGAAGACAAAATTAAAGCCATCTTTAATCTTATCAACACCTTTCTAGTATTTTAGTTATAATTCAAGGTTGTTTAATTTCTTTGTATTTGGTAAGGACTATTCTTATTCTTTTCTATCTAACATCTAATCCTTTTTTGCCTACTTTTTTCTTCTTAGTGATATATAAAAATATTATATATATATATATATATATATATATATAAATTTGTAACTTTGATATCTTGAAGTATATACAAAATTACTTGTTAACCTTGTGAACTTAAAGTTGCAAATAAAAAAAAAATATATATATATATATATTTACTTATATTACTAAATTAAGATATAACTCTTGCAATCAACTAATAATTTATTTAATCTAATTCAAAAGTAATAAAATAAAAAAAATTATATCTAATTATACATTCTTATAGAAAGATTTTTATTTTTTTCTTTGCTTAAAGAAATAAGTTATGTTGAGATGGCTCTTATGGTAACAATAAAATAAAATAAAATACATTTTAAAAATAATTATAAATTTCTAGCTTTTCTATTATTGTAAGATGTGATTTTTACAAATCCCAAGAACAATCATGGATAGATTTTAGAAATGCCATTAACAAAGTATATATAGAAATAGTCACAACACTAAGTAAGTTGGATAGCAGGTCTAAAAATAAATAATAAAAATCGTTCTCTTGGAAACAAGCTATTTTTACCAAACAACTTCTACCAAAATTAAAATTCTTAAAAATATTATTTAGACTCTATTATGTAGCATTTGCTTGTGGACTATCTAGATTCAAAAGAATATTTAAAGGAGATATTTGAAGTGTTAATCACATTAGACAACAAATCTGGACAAAATTACATGATAACATCTGAGTAGTTTTGAAACAAATCATAACAAAAATTAGTAAAAGCCCAGATCAAACCCAAGCTATGCTCACTAAATGGGATGGATCCTGGATCATTAACTGTCGAAAACGTTGTGAAAATTCAAAACATTTGATGAACAGAAAATGTCAGAAGACATGGTTTGCAGGGGAGGGAAGCGTGTGAAGATGTCGAGGAATGCTTAAGCTGGAGCTTGGGAGGTGCCTCTTAATGAAGCTGGTCCTTGCTTGCTTATTTGCTTGCATCACGTGACACACGAACAATAGGTCTGACAACGAACAATGCAGCGAATTCCATTTCCCTCTCATTTAATTTAAATCCAGCTTCCGATCGTGCAACTTTAGACGGACACAGCGCCGATGCTGAAGCGCAGACACCAGCATGACGCAACAGATTCCTTCGGGCTGCAAGAATCGCGTCCCGTTTGGGCTAAACGTGGCGATGTGCAGGGGCATAGGTGGTGGAACACTGCAAGCCCACTCTCATCCTTGCTTGTCCTGTGTTCCTCGTCGCCATTGTACACTGCATTTGCACCGCTGTAGCGGGAGGCTTGTCTGGTGGTTGACTTTGCTTTGCTAAAGATGTTTCAGAAGTCATTCTCCTCTCCTCTGCATAAATAGTGACGAACCTCCTTGTCAACCTCACTCTCCCTCGCCATCGTTGTCCCCGTCCCTAGTCCAGCATTCTGCCTGATCGTTGAGTCCAGGTGGTTGAGGTTGAGTCCTTTCAGATTGAGATCGCTTTCTGCGTCGTCTCCCCCCAGATCTTCTCCAATGCCTCCGACGTTGTTGTCTTCGTTTCTGGTGCTGATGACGGTACTTCTAGTCCACGGCCCTGAGCCTGTTACTAGCAAACCCCATTGCGGATCGAAGATTGTGAAATCAGGCTACTGGCCATATTGGGCAACCGATACGTCAAACCTCAATTTCGAGTTCCAAACGCATGTATTCTTTGCATTTGCACAGATTGACCCGGTAACGTATGAGGTCGTTCCGCCCCCGCCTTCTGATGGTGTTTCAATATTCCCAACGTTCACAAAGCTAGCTCGAAAATCCAACAAGTGCGTCAAGACCTTACTCTCCATCGGAGGGGGAGGTTCCATGTCACCATTTTCGGCTATGGCGAGCTCAGCTGCTAACCGCAAGGCATTCATTCAGAGCAGTATTCAGTTGGCTCTTAACAATAGCTTCGACGGTCTTGACCTGGACTGGGAGTTTCCAGATACTCAAGTGGACATGGACAACCTGGCCATTCTTCTGAAGGAGTGGCGGGCCGAGGCGCAGAAAAAGCTACTTCTCACAGGTCTGGAACAATTGTAGTATTTATAATCAGCATGTCCAATTTTCCTTGCAAACCTAGATGCAGCGAATTCGAACGATGGCATTTGCTTACTAGCACCCTCCCGATTTTTGCAGCTGCTGTGTACTTCCGAAACATTCTCTATTTCTGGCAACCAGCGGACCAACAACGCCGGTATCCGATCGCGTCAATCAACAAGAACCTGGACTGGATAAATGTGATGTGTTTCGATTACCGCGGCTCCTGGGAATCTAACACAGGTGAGCACACGGCTCTGTATGACCCCAATCTCCCAGTCGTCAGCACAGACGACGCTGTCACCGACTGGATCACAGCAGGTCTATATCCCCACAAATTGGTGATGGGTTTGGCCTTCTACGGAAAGCAATGGACGCTGCAGAGCTTGGCTAATACGGGAATTGGAGCGCCCACTCAGACAGACATTAGTTCGAAATACACCCCCGTGTGGAGCGAAATTGTTGTGTATCTACAAAATGACGGGTGGACGACTGTATTGGATGATGCAACGGTGTCAATGTACAGCTACAACACCCAGTCGCTTCAGTGGGTAGGGTATGATAATGAGGTTACCATCAAAAAGAAGGTGGAATACGCCATCAGAATCAAAAAGCTGAAGGGGGTGTTTGTTTGGAGTCTCAACCACGATGACTCCAATTGGTCTCTTGCTCGAGCAGGTACCTCTCAACCTCCGCTGTAGCGTATCATGCAAAAAGTGTGAGGTCTTTCAATGCTGCATCACCATTACTTGTTCCGACACTTCGTAGGTGTTTTGCTGGGCCTGGATTCTCCATTGCGATGTGCCAGGATAATTAAAATGTTTGTGTTTGTGCAGTGGCCTCTTGTCTAAATACAACTTTCAGTCCGTGGATGAGCTGCAGCAAGCCGCCATGACCCATTGATCCTGCTTTTAAAGCAATCAGGATTACTAGAATTCATCAGAAACTTCGCAATATCATAGTGCTCTCGCTTTGAGCATCATTGTTCCGTAGTGGGTGCACTTTAGGATTGCTTGACATCAAGAACGTTTACAGGTTGAAGGCATTGATCGGAGTCTCCAGCTTTGCCTCTTCATACTTTGAGTTGCGCAGCTTGATGCCATGATCTGGTATTTCTACTGGGAACGATTAAATGCACGTACTAAATCTATTAAGATTAATTCTCAGCGTCTACTCATTGCTTTTCTTCTTCTGCACCATGCACTCTCGTTGCACTGGAGCATGAATTGCTTCTTCTGTCTCACGAACCTTCACAGATGCCAGTGCAGTGCAAGATTATTCTTACCAAACTATGCTCACCATCCTTAGATAACACATTGCATGATATCATAGCAAACAAGGTGCTGTTGGGGCTTAGATAACACTCCAAGTGACATTTGTATTCGTTTCTCCAGGAGGACCATGCGAGGGCAATAGTTTCCGCATTGAGTTGTTTTGAAATTGTCACTCCACTTAATTCATCATGGTGCTTCTACTGTGCCTGTGTACGATTGTATGCTAAAAGTTAAAAATTTCTACTATGCGGAACAGTGGATGGATGCATAACTTGATTGTTTATATTAGTTGAGTGTTAGACATTGGATGGGATTGCAACCATACAATTGTTGTAAAGCAAGTGGAAGAAACATGTAGTCTTAAAATAGTAGGTATAACAAAATACTTTTTTACAAATTTATTGTGATATTTTTATAAAATCTTCGTTGTTTGGAAATACCACGTACTAATCTTCTTCTAAAAGCCTTGTCTTTAAAAACGATTCTATCTTTTTGTTCCTTTATTTAATAAAAATAAATTGAACTAAAAAGAGTACATATATGTTTTAATAATAGTTTGGTATTTGATTGATATGTCAACTATTGATTTTAATTTATACATATTATATTTTAGATAGGAATCAATGATATTTAAAATAATACATAATAGTAATATATGAGATATTTAAAATAATAATATTTATATGAGATATAAATACAAGATTCAAAAGAAGATAATCTATAACCTCTAAAATGCTATAATACTTATAAGAAGAAGGATAATTTTCTTTCTATTTAGAAAGACTAAGCTCCAATGTTATGTTATATCAATCTCAAAAAATTGTTATAGACACACAACTTAGGTAAGATAAGATTTCAAGAGTTTAAGAAAATGAAACAAAAGAGATTTACTTAACATTACAAATAAGCAACTATAACAAGGCACAAGAAGTAGACTAGAAGGCTCAAGTTGAGCCACTTAGATTGCATTGTCAAAACTAAAGATCCCCTCAAACTTAACTTTTATATATATTAGGTGCAAGAAAATACCTTGACAAGTTTTTTTGATTCTTAGAGATTAAAAAAACCTCCAAGAATCTTCAATGACCATCTAAGATCTTCTAGAATCTTCTAGAACCTTTTGAAAGTTTCTTAGAATCTATTAAGAACTTCTCAAAATCATTAAGAATCTTTTAAAATCTTATAAGTTTTAATAGAATCTTATTCTATTGTATGTCTATGACATTCCAACTTCATCTTAATATCTATCTACTATTGTTAGGAAGAAAATATTATAAATCATCTTATATAAAATAATAAAAAAATAATTATACATTTTATTAGAAGCATAAATTTTGATAATTATTATTTTTTCTACAATTATTTATCTATTATAATCTATAGATATATATTTTTAATTAAAAATACAATAAATGGCATTAAATTTTTATTAAAAAGAATTATTAGAATGCTCAAACTTCTTTTGTGTGTTCTACTTTCTACACAATTGCATCCTAGTGCAACATCTAATATACAATAATTTACTTCTCTTCAAAAATAATAATCAAGATTATTTCCATTATATCTACTAATCTTATATTCTTATAAAAGATTATATTTAATAGCCTATTATCCTTGTATAAAATATTTTATTAAAAAAATTATTACCTTATTTAATTTCTATTATTATTTATTTTTCTTCTTTTCTTAAATTTATTTTATTACAATTAAAGTATTTAATCTTGAGTTAGAACTTATTTCAACCTTTTTAATCTATTATTTGTCAAATATAGTAGTATCAAGGCTATTATAGTTTATGCCTTAAATTATAGATACTAATCTTCATATAATAAAATATTGTAATAATACCTACAAATCAAATATTATCTTAAGGTCAAGATTATTTGTCATAAGTAGCAAGGTGTCAAGGATATGAATCTTAAAGAAAGAAAATCCTCAATACACTCTCGTATTATTGAAAGGAACTAGAAAGTCACTCAAAGATGTTATGATATTGAACTAGAATGGCTATTGCCAAAAACAAGAAGACTAGAAAGTCTTGAAACAAGACTAAGGACTAAAAAGGCATTAATAAGAGTGAAGAAGGCTTCACTCTTGCCTCCATATATACTATCTAACTAGGAGCTATATGGCAATATTCTATAAGACCTCTGACATGTGTTGACTTTGCTAGCCACACGAATTAACTTGCAAAGCAAGTTATCTATATATGCGCCACATAGTTGCTTTTTTTCACAAGCTATAACATGGAATTAACTTGTTTTATAACCTACCAACACGTGGTTAACTTGTTGACCAAGTTTCTAACCTACAAATATATCTAAAGTCAAAACTATTATCGTGTCATGGTTCGCTACTATATAAAAATAATATGTTTATATATTTAATTGCTACTCCAAAAAAAGATTGTTTAAAAAGTCTTCTATTAGAATTTATATAACTTTATTTTCTTTTGATAGTGACTTTTCAAGTTGGTCTTATTAGTAGTAACTTTTAAATATTTAAAGACACCTTTGTTAGATATTGGTGACCCTTAAAGACTTATTTTGTTTCATTTATATGGTATTTAGGACATATATTATATAAATCTTATAAAGAAAAGAGTTGGATAGGGATTTTGATAGCAAAAAGAGAGTTTACGGTGTTGAGGTGGACAGAGTTTGCCTCAACAAAGCGCAGGCTTTTAGCTGCTACTAAATACTCAATCAAGTCTAAGATATAAAAGTACCAAGTTTATATATATATAAAATTTTCCCTTTTTGGGCAATAACATCGATACATAAGCCCAAGTACCAAAAAAAAAACCCAAATGTATGATAAAGTATCTTAAAATCTTATATATCCTTATGAGAAATATTTCTCAAAGTTTAATAGTTTATATTTCACGATCAAACTATCCAAAAAACCTAAAATTTTACATGAAGTATTGATATACTTTAAAAAACTACCACAAAAAAATTCAACTAAAAATTCCTTACGGATCTTGAGATATCACCAAAATCCTAATAATAGCTTTAAATCCTAGCTTACATATACCCACGTGCTATTTTCTTCATATCTCACAAAATAAATATTCAAATACTATGAAACTTTTATTTATAGCTTTTTAACCTAATAATCTACACTTATAGAAATTTTGAGCCAAAAATTCGTCTAGAAACTTAAGATATGGCCCCAACCATTACTATCAACAAAATGACTCACTTACTACCTTTGAATTTCATGTACTATCTTCAATGCCCTATAACTCCTTCATCTAAACTTGAAATTCGTTAAATAGTATAAGAAAAATGTAGCCAAGAAAGTATTCTCTCTAATTCTATTCGCCGATCTTTCATTGCTTTCCGTTCGCATATGTTATGCTTCAAAGAATGACAATAGGTACAAATTTGACACCTTAACTTTGAACACCTATATCTCCTTCACAAAAACTCGAAATCACACAAACTCTTCACCCAAATTATACCTAATACCTTGAACTTGCTGATTCTAGCCTCCAAAGCTCGAATGCCTTCAAAAGAGAAACCCTAATCTCTAATGAGACCTCGGACAGCCTCCTTGAAGCCCATTGGGCATAGCCTTTGACCAATACGAATGAAGATCTCCATTCCTTGCCTTCATCCAACCATGCCTTGCTTTCATTTCTCCCAATAAGCCTCCTATTAGTTAAAAATTTCTTCTTTAAGCTCTAATCTCCTCTCAAGGCTACATATTAAATATTTAGGTCCTATAATTTTTTTAAATGCTATAATCAAAATAGATAAAATTCAAAATAAAGTTTTTTTTTTTTTTTTTTTTTTTTTTTTTAATATCCACTCTCTTTAAATTAATCTATTAATTATTCTAACACATACCAAGACTTATGAACATATTATATGTTCTAACTAATTTTTACATACAATAAGTAATTACAATACAACAACAACATCCATTTGGATGAATGGAGATAGATGATGAAAATCTCTATTCTTATTGACTAAAAGCCATGACAAATAGGCTTCAAAGAGGCTACCTGAGGCCATATTAGGGATTAAGGTTACACTTTCGAGCCATTCGAGCTTTTGGAGGATAGGGCTACCAAGTTTAGATTTTTAATTATGATTTTGGTACAAATTTTGTATGTTTTGGAGTTTATATGAAAGAGATATAGGGGCTCAAAGATAAGGTGTTGATTTTGTACCTACTATCACTCTTATGGATATAACACGTGCATACACAAAACAATAAAGGATAGACTTTTGGCATATTTTTTGATGGATTCCAAATTGGAATAAAGGAATTTTGGAAGTTGGAGTTAGTACTTCAAATCTAAAGATAATAAGTAATTTGTTTTACTAGTGGTTGTGTTTTGAGTTATATCTTAAGCAATTTGATAAGATTTTGGTTAAAACTTTTCTAAAGTCTGTGTAATCATGTTAGTAAACTTTATGTATAAATTTTGTGGCATTTGAATTTTGGATTATTGAGATATAAGAAAAATAGTTTTTAGGTGCTTGTAGATTAGGATTTAGAGTATCTACTAGGATTTTGAAGATGTTAGAAGATTGGTAATAGATTTATAGTTCATTTTTTTATTGTAAAACTTAACAATAGAATCTATCATAAATAGAAATTTTTAAAAAATTGAATGGTTGGATCAAGAAATATGAATTTCCAAAGTTCAAGGTAAAAACATCCTTTACGGAAAAAAAATATTTTGAAGGATTTTATTATAATTTAAACTTTTGTGTAAGATAAAAGGATTTTTGGGAGATAAGACATTATATATAAGCCATAGCTAAATTCTCTACAGCTAGGTATCCAATGTATTCTTAGATTACAAATCATGCCATATAACACCATGTCTATAAAGCTTCAAGGAAGCTTCTCTAGAAGGCTTTATAAAATTAATTTATAT